TATTTTAAATCCTCACCCAAAGATAGGTTTATTGGTCTTTTTTAGAGAGGGGAACAGAGAAAGGGGAAAGAGAGAGGGAGAGAAAAACAGAGACAGAGACAGACATGGATGTGAGAGAGAACATCAATTGGTCCTGACCCGAGGATGGAACGTACAACCTAAGGTGTATGTACCCTGACCGGAAATCAAACCCATAACCTTCTGGTATACTGGAAGATGCTCCAACCAACTGAGTCACACCGGTCAGGGTGGAATAAATATATTTTCACATTTATTGCAGGATTCCATAAGGGCAAGGATTATTACTCTCGTTTTTCACCACCGTATGCCTAGTGCCCTGCACTGCATTTGGCACATGGTAGATATTTTTAATTGGTTGAATGGATTTTTAATATTTAGAAACTTTTTTAAAAACAAGTATTTTACTAGGAATAGAGAGTTGGCCAATTTAATATTTTTTTTTCTAAATCTGTTAGGTGGTATTTCTTTTTAAAAAAATAGACTCCTTGTCTGGGAGACTCACATCTTTATAAATTCCATTTTTCTTTTGTGTTTGCTTTGGTTTCTAGTTTCCAAGCACATGTTACTATAACCTTATACTGAGCAAAATAATTTGACCTGACAATACTTCTAATTAGTTCACTAGAAATTTTGTGCTATGTAGAGGAATGTAGTATATCACACTACTTATTTTTTATTTAGTACTCTGCTTTTCAGAGCTTATACATTCTTTTTGTCCTTAGGAGAATATATATATGAACTATCTTTTTAAAAAATATATATTTTATTGATTTTTTTGCAGAGAGGAAGGGAGAGGGATAATTGAGAGTTTAGAAACATCGATAAGAGAGAAACATCCATCAGCTGCCTTCTGCACACCTCCTACTGGGGATGTGCCCGCAACCAAGGTACATGCCCTTGACTGGAATCGAACCTGGGACCTTTCAGTCCACAGGCCGACACTCTATCCACTGAGCCAAACCGGTTAGGACTATGAACTATCTTTAATGTCTGCTTAAAAATTGTATATTAAGGGATGCAGCAAGTTTGGTTTTATAAAATGCCCAGAGAGAGTGGGGACAGGTAGGCCGACAAACTGAGTAAGCACTTTCTTGCCATCTAGATAACCTGACGTGTTGGTTAGAACTTATTTACCTCTATATCTCTCCAGCTCTCTTTAAAAAACCAAAATTTTCTTTCTTAAAAAATACTTTTCTTTTTATTTTTTTAAAAAAATATTTTTATTGATTATTGGTTAATTAACAGAAGATTCAAGAGAGAAACCTCAGTGATGAGAGAGAGTCATGGACCGGCCACCTCCTGCACGTCCCCGACTGGGG